CTGGGGATGTAGATGGAGCTTATTGGAGGGCTCTTGGATTCACTCCTAGTATACTCCGTAGAAGAAAGTGAAGGAGAAAAAGCCAGAGGAGGAGGAGGAGGAGGAGGAGGAGGAGGAGGAACAGGAAAAGGAGATGAAGAAGGAAAGAAGAAAGAAGGAAGCAAAGAAGGAAGGAAAGGTGTCTTGAGAGAAACAGATAGACCTCAAAATCTCTCAGCATTTCTGGGGTCACAGCCTCCAGTTAGAGTGGGCTTTAAGAGTCAGTCCAGTTACAAATTCAAAGATGATGAAAAGGAAGAGAAAGAGTTTAGGGAACAGCCTCAAAAGTATTACATTCATTCTGAATTCAAGTTGGGAGCAAACCCAGCTAGGGACCTCAGGGAGAATTCGAGAAGGTGACCCCGCTCCTCAGCTGATTACCAAAATAATCATATAAAGCATCTTTAGGGGTGAGGGGAAAGGAAAGTAAGGGCTGAGGTGCCTGTTTGCTTCTGCAACCCGATTTGCATTCTTCCTTACAGTGTTCTAATATGACTGAGCAAAATGAATTCTCTAATATGTGGCTGTAAATCCCAGAAGAGTATGCAGTAGCACTCTAAGGCACTTCTGAGAGCTGTACAGCCTGGCAGCTTGTCCTCTTTAAATGTAAGGAGTGAAGGACAGGTGTACGTACAAAAGTTCAGACCATATATTCTCCATGCTACTCTATTCTTTAAGAAGTCACTAGGAAGCGGCATCTTCATTCATTAAAAAGTAAGAAAAAAAATAGGAATCAAAGAAAGGGGGAAGATGTGGCATAAAAGAATGAGCAGCATTCGCAGGTAAGTGGATAAAGCAAAGGTAGTATACACATTTATTTACCCACCAAGAAAAATGACAGTCATGTCCTTGCAGAAAAATGGGTAAAAATGGACATTGTCACATTACGTGAGGTAAGATAGTGTCAGAGAAGTAGGGATCAGAGGATTTTTCTCATATGTGAAAACTAAAGACCAAGCCAAATTAAAGAAGAGAGAGAGAGAGAGAGAGAGAGAGAGAGAGAGAGAGAGAGAGCCAGGCCAGTGGCACACCCTTGCACTAGGGAATCTGAGGCAGGCGGATCACTTCGAGTTCATGGCCAGCCTAGGCAAGAAAGTGAGTTCAAGAACAATCTGAACTGCATAGCGAGACTGTTCCTCAAAATAAATAAATAGATAAATAAGTAAATAAACAAATACAAGCACCAGCCAGATAGCTTAGCAGATTAAAGTGCAAGTTTAGGCAGATGAAGGGACTGGGTTCTAGCCCAGGTGTGCTGTGCTGCCCCCTGGGCGTGCTGAGATGGCAAAGGAGACTGGGCATGGTGGCGCGTGCATGTAATCCCAGCTCTTGGGAGGCTGAAAACAGGAGGATCTCTGTGAGTCTGATCTGTGTCGTGAGACCCTGTAGACCTGGTACTAAATGCATTTTTAAAAATTAAATAAAAACAAAAATAAATTAAAAATTAGAAAATGAAAAGAGGGACTGATAGGGAACGAGAAAGGGGAAGACATGAGAGAGCAACCTATTACAATATATGTCTGCATGGAAAGGCCACAGAGAAACCCCCTAATCATTACAACTAATATGAATTAATAATTCAAAAAAAAAAAAAGAGGAAAGAATTTACGCAGTCTGAGGCTGGAGTTCAGCATTAGAGTACATTCGTAGTATATCCAAGGCCCTGGGTAGAGTTACAGAAGAAAAAGGAAGAAAAGAAAGAAAGTTTTGATTTTGCCACTATTGTTGTACCTGTCAGTGGGATTTTTTCTTAATTCCACTTGGCTATTCTGTTGTACTGTGGCTACAAACTGGACTAGCTAATGTCGTCGGAACTGGATCTTTTTTCCTTCCTTCCTTCCTTTTTGGCTTTTTTCAGGCAAGGTTTCAGTGTGCAGTTCAGGCGGGTCATGACCTCACATCCAGCCAGAACTGTACATGTCTTAAAGACACTTTATTCATCTTTCTAAGTAACAGCATCTCTGACATGATGCTTCTATGTGTTTATATTAAAGACACTTTAATAAACTTGGGCATAATATGAGTAAATGAACCCATGAGTTAGAATTCAGAGTTAGGACATTTAGCAGTTCATAGACTCTGTGTGTGTGTGTGTGTGTTGGGTGGTGTGACTGGAAATTGAACCCAAAGCCTTGGGATTAAGCTCTATTCCAAGCTCTTTAATTTTTTATTTTGAGATTCTGCGATTACTAAATTGCTAAATTTCCCAGGCTGGGCTGGAAATTGTCCTCTTGCCTCAGCCTTCCAGAGTCCTGGGATTACAGGTGTGTGCCACTGCACCCCTACTCTTTTTTTTTTTCTCTTTCTCTTTTCTGGGGCAGTGTTATTGATGAGGATTGAACCCAGGACCTCTTACAAACTAAGCATATGTTCTACCACTGAGCTATAACCCTGCTGAGCTACGCCATGTTTTCTTGTTTCCTTCTGCTTTGTTTTGTTTCTTTACAATTTCCCGTATTTTTCAATTCTCTGGTATATGTCAAAGTTGAAGTTCCTCGAAGCAGTTTCAGGTACCTGAGGTATTACTGTAAGGCCATATATGCTTGTAAGCAGAGAAGAGCTGACACAGGGAACTACAAGAAGGAAACAGAGCCAGAGAGAGAGAAACCAACACTTGTGTGAGAGGAGAAGAGTACTGAGGATTTGATGTCTCAAAGAGAAATAGATTGTAATTGTCTAGCCATTCACTGTATAGGTATTTTCCCAGGCTTTCGGGTGCTGGAATCTCCTTCTAGAAGTGATTTTTAGGCTTTTTGTCCTGAATAAAGAATTGAACGGGTGCAGGGGAGATAGCTCAGTAGAATAAGCGTTTGCCTGGCAAGCACAAAGTCCTAAATTCAATCCCCCGGACCACCAAAAAAAAAAAAAAAAAAGACTTAAGCATGAACGGTGACAACGTTTTACATTTATTAAAGTTAGGAAAAAATAGCTTTTGCAGAGCACGTTTGTGCCAAGTGAAAGTAGGATGAAGGGAGAAAAAAAAAACCCACCCTGCACCGTAGGATACGCTACTGTGAAGAGACTGGATCGTAAAAGCTTAATAGTTACTTTCCTTTTTTTATATTTCCCACGCTGACTTCATCTCCAAACCATCCTATCAGAAACCTCCAGAGTTCTCGCGAGAGTACAGGGCTTTGCGGATGGACGGTTTTGCGCATGTGCTGGGGATTTTTCCCATCTCCTTGCTACGTCCTGTGTTCCTTTCTGTGACTACCTTATTTTAATATAAATACGTTAGCTGTTCTTAGATGGGAGGTAGTTAACTTTGGACGATACTTGTAGCTTTCAGTAGCCCCAGGGTGGTGATTGGATATAGATTGGATATAGTTGGATATAGACTGGCTTATCCTGAGTAGTGTTGAGCCCCTAATATGACTGAATAAAGAAGTTTAGAGGTAGTGCTGTTGTTGCAAACAAAATCCTGGGCTCAGATCAGCCAGTGTAAAATGATTCTTATTTCTCTTATCCCTGTGGGTCGTTTCGCAGAGAGTCTGAGCCAGTGGCTAAATCTTTAATAAAGCACATCTCAGTCATGGGGAAAAAATGTTGTTGTTTTTTTTTTTAAATTTACTATCTTCTTCCTTCTGGAAAAGTTGATAATTCTTATTTTATTTGAAGAATAGAAGGCCAAACTCAGGGCTTTTCACAGCCAAGAACACACTGTTATTGACCAACGTCTGCAACCCTTGATTCTTTAAAAGGCCTCACAAGAGAAGAAGGTACGTGTGACAGCATGCAGTTGTAGTCCCAGAGAGGTAGAATAGAAGAAATAAAGCTGGGTAGGAA